AATGGAAGACAAATATGTCACTCGCACAAAGACTGACACTTAATTTTTAACAACAAAATAAGTTAAGATTATTGCTTAACCTTGTGCTACTCTTTGAAGAAAAACCATCAACACGTTTATACCCTTCAGATATATAAAAATTCAAATGATAAATGAAGTCTTTTTTGCTTTCCCCATCATTTGATTTATTTCAGTCGCAAATAATTGAAACATTTATTTCATCTAAATTAAGGTATTATTATGCAGTGTCGATTTGCAGTTAACATACATAAAGAATAAAAATTAAGTTTATTATGTCAACAATTAGTGGATTTGAATAATAGCTAAGTTTTGGGTGTACTAATTCAAGAAATAAAACAAAGAAAAAAACTATCTTTTTCCTTGTCTAAAAAAAGTGTCAAAAATTTGAATCACAGAAAAAATGACGGATAATGTTTGGATGTTTTCAAAAGTTTTAGGTTAATTTTGCTAGTGTGCAGCATAAAATATATAGATTTGTTCAACGGAAATACTGATTTAGAATTTGGCATCACTATAAAAGTACTGTAAAGAAAAAAAAAGAGCAAATTAAATTTGGAATTTTTACAAATATTACTGTTGACAATGTTACATAAAATTAGGCGAAATGTTGATCAAATTTACCTTTTTTTCTCACTTTTCAAAAAATTTGAACGTCAGTAGAGTTTGAGGAAAAAAAAAAGCAATGACAAAAATTTGTCGTTATTTGGCAGAAAAATTGTCAACCGGTTAAGAAAAACACTTTTATGGATATTTCTTTGAAACTGATTTTTGCTTAATTAACCACAGTTAAAATTAACGAATGAAGTAGTTTTACGAGATAACAATTATACATTGTATGCGGTTAGAATCTGATTGATACCTTTGTTCTTTGTTAATACAGAGTTTTGTATAAGAGCAAAAAGCTTTCTTTTGACTTTGGTAGTTTTCCAATTCTTTTTGGGACATTAAGCCGTAATAAATTACCATAAAATTAGATATCTGAAATCTTTAGGATTCTTAAAAGCGTTATAACGTGACATCCGTAGGGGCGTATCAAGAATTTTGATTAATTATATGACCTTAAAAAATGGCCTAGCCTTCACTGGAAATCCTCGGCATTTCTTCTGCAATTACAGTATTCAGCCTGCGCCATTGTTTAGTCAGCATAAAGCAAAAAAGCATCTCAGTTTCTTATCAACGAACAAATAAAGCCTCAATTAAAATTTTCATCTGTAACTGGCCAAAAATTCAGGATTAAGTTTTTTGCAAAAATGATACAAAAGAGTGCGGTCATCGGAAACAGAGCAATAAAATCTTGAGAAAAATAAGATAACAATGACTTCCACTGTAAGTTCAATAACTCCTGCTCGTCTTAAATTCACTTCAGCAGAATATGTAAAAGAATTTGACTCATTATGCTCATTATTTGTAGCAGTTTATACGTATTCGGATCGCTGATCACAGTTATTATCGTTAGCACCAACAAAATATGCATAAGTTGTTTTTTTTTTTTTTTCAGTGTTCCACCCGACAACCAGCGAAAAGCCATTGCCATTAAATTGCAGTGTTGGCCAAAGGCCAAAAATTTCAGGAATCACACTTCAAGTAGTGCGGTGCCGGGCGAAGCTCAAGGAAAGCAGGCATGATTCGGTTGCAGATGCTCTGTTGTTGATCGGCGTTGTTGTCCAAGTTAGATTTCACGGCATATTAGCCAAGCTTATTTGGGTGGTTAAATTTTGCTGTGTTAGTTTGTTGATGGTGAACAAGTTTTTTTTTTTTTTTTTGGTTTTATTTTAACTGAATTTAAAAATTTTGTTTAACCGTTTTGACAGACTTTTTTCTGCTATTGTTTTTGTTTCATTTTTTTTTTTTTTGCCTGGAAATTTCTGGCTTTTCTACCCTTAATACTTGATATTATTATTCTTTATCAGGACATCTTCTTTTCTGTGAAAGAGGAATTATTTTTTTTATTTTCAGTCGTACATACGGACAAGTATAAAATAACGAAGGTTACTGGTTGGTTAATGGTATGGGTTTTGATTTTGATTATAATCATATACTGAAGAAAAAGACTAGACGACAACAACAGCAAGAACGAAAATATACTGCAGTAAGAACTTTTACGAAGTTTAAACTTTTAATTACTTTTTTGGGTCAACAGACGAGTCGTGATGTTCTTAAGCGCTATCTGTAAAACGGATGATGGTATACTTTAAATTCTCAACTTTTTTATTGTTATATTGTTTTCTGTAATGAAGTTTCAGTGGCCAGAATCAACTGCTCTTTACATTAATGATAGAAAACATCGGGTTAAAACTCATAGTCGCTCGATAAACAATGAAAGGAACACTCGTATGTCCAGACAGTTGGCAAAGGTTTGTATTTTATTTTTTTTAAAAGAAATTTCGACAGAGTCTTCCTTGGATTTAATGTTGGTATAAAATAACATTTTTTTATAAGCCAGAGCGTTATAATTACTTTGACATAGTGTTACCGCAGACGTTTCATGTATGACGCTGTTAGGTAGATGACGGTAATTGTAGTCTTTTAGAGAGCACCTTTGTTGAAAAATTATGACTCAACATCTCTTCAGCCCACAAGCGACAGTGAGTGCGATCATGAGGTTTGAAATCATATTGGATTGACATTTATATACCTCAGTATGATTCTTCCTGAGTAGCTTGTTAAACAGTTTCTTCTTTTTTTTTTTTCAGATTGATGTTTATATATTGAGTTTGGAAACCATTCTTTTAAAGATTCGGTTCCCATCTCGTTCGATGTGCATTCGGATTTCGGATTTTCTTTGTTTAAGAGAGGGAGCTTTATTGAACGACGTAATAATAGATTTTTATATTAATCACATAGCCGCGCATCTTTTGCCCGATGACTCGTAATTTTACTTGAATCTTACTTTCTTCTTCATTTTTTTTACTTTTTCCTAATTGACATCTGGATCTTTAACTTAGTAGTCAATAATAGACTTAGAATTCTAAAGTACTCCAGGGTTGTGAAAATGCACTTATTTCCTTCTCTCTTTTGGTGTTACGTAAAGGAATTTGGTTTCTCTCGAGGAAAAATGCCAAGAAGCCATGACACTGTTTCTTCGCTCGTTGTAAGGAATTTTTTTTATCTTTTTAAGGGTTGATCAGGTCTTTAATAAATTTTTCTTTGCAGTGATTTAATTTTTGTTTGTGTCCTTAAGAAATCAGACGTGCGGAGTTATTCATTTTTGCATTATTTTGTGTTTGAATTAACCGATTCTAGACCAGTCAAAAAAAGTACCCTGATTTTCACTATGATGATAGAAGTCAAGTAGATTATTGGTTGGAACAAGAGGACGTCTTCGATGCTGATTTTCTAGTTCTTCCAATAAACCATAATCAGCACTGGTAAGTCTCCTGTTATCAAATCGATATTTGAAAGATACCGGGATCTTCATTTCGGTTGGAGTTGCTCTTTGTAAAAGCAGCTTTTTTTATATATTACTTCCAGGTCTCTTGTGGTAGTTTGTTCTCCGATGTTATCTATAAAAAACAGTTACGAGTCGAACACGCATGATTCGTCTTTGTCACCACTGTTGATCATATTTGATTCTCAACAACCAGTGGATGCTTCATTAAAGTCGAATATTTTGTCAACGATGCAACAGTTTCTCGAAGTATTAGGCCCTTCTATATCTCTTCTCCAGTTTTAGAGTCGAATCTTTATACGTTGCTGTTTTTAGCTCGCGTTCGCTCGTAGGTCGTCTACGCTTAGTGGAGGTCGTTTCAGAAGTGATTGTTTTAAATGTGTGATACCAAAAAATCTTCCTCAGCAAAAAAATAATGTTGATTGTGGAATATATATCTTGGAATATGCGCGAAGATTTTTGCTTTCTCCTCCGCCAATAGTCAGTTCTTTTTATAATAGTGGTTGCATGTACTTCAGTGTAAATTGAAGTACATGAATTTTGTATGCTTCCTATGCTTTCCTGAACTTAATCAAGAACGGAGTTGAAGATGGAGCGTTATTTTTGATTTCTGTTTAATTACCAGTTATTCCAATCTTGGATTTAATTTGGTTTAGAGTTCCTGTGTTTAGGATTGTCTTCAATCGGAAGTCTTCGATTTCTTATCTTTTTATCCGGATTTTGACGTAAGTGATAAACGCTGCGAAATACAACATACGGTTTTGTCTCTGTGTTCTGATTACGAAATTTGGAGGAATCTTTTGAACACTGTGGATGTGCCTTTTGAATACAGAAGTATCCCTTTGCATCTTCAGTTCTTGAAAACTTGTCATCTTTCAGCATAGTTCGATAAGTTACTGAATTTAATTTTCAGATCACGTGTTACACATCCAAAGAGGACTTTAGCGGAACTCAGGCAGGAAATTTAATAATATCTTATTCCGGTTGACTTGATGTGGAAGTGCTGGAATTTTATCTGTATATAATTGTGCTTTGTCTAGCCGTGGGTCATCACACATTCTTGCTTTCAAAAGTCATGCTGTGCATAATTCTGAGAAGTGTTTTAGAAATTGCTACTGGAGTGTGTATCCTGATTTCCATCTGCTTTTTCACCATAAATACCAATAATTTATCGGTTAAATTATTTTTTTTTAGAAAATCGATTTATAACTGCAACTTCGTGAAGTTTTCATAGTCCTTTTATGTGTGATTTTTTACTTTTGCTGATCTTACTATTTGCCTTCTTAGAAATGTTTATTGAATGTTTTTTGGTCTTTTTGAATGGTTTTACGTTGATGCTGTGCAGTTTTAAAAGTCTAAGAGAAGATTGTTTTTTCAGTGCTTTATACGAAGAGGAGAGAAGAGATTTTAGTACAGACAAGTTTTAAGTTTTCGCCGACTCTAAGGCAAGGAGATTTGTACGGGTCGCTTAATATTAGGCATTGTTAGTTCTACTTACTGTTGGTTCCGTTGTTTTTTGCTTTGAATTCACTGTTTCACCAATTAATTAATTAATCTTTTTTAGTTGTGTTGCAGGAGATGCGTGCTTGGTGTTTTGATAATTATAATTGAACACTTCCTTAAACACTCAGTTTTATTGCTTTTCTTTAATTTTTCAATGGTGATTATTTGACTGTGATTGCTCTTATTATACCAACTAAATTATGGCGGTCTGCACATGGCAGTTGTTTTGCTTGATGGCTAATAAAATGTAATTGCTGTACTCGACATCAGTCATCCGGGGATTTTTTTTGCGACAGCCAGGTTTATGTGAGATGTTAAAACCATTGAAAACGAATGTTTATCAGGCGGGAGGACGAATTTGTTGTTTGAATCAGATCGTAGGAGGCAGGCGTTACTTAGTGGAATGATTGCGCTCTTTATTCGGTAGTGCCATTTCCTGCGCTTGTTTAAATTAATTTCTTTGTCTTCTTTTCCCTATGAAAATTTGGCAGAGGAGAAACTGTGACGGGAATGGCTGTTGGTTTCGTACAAATAGTTTTATTTTGGTACATTATTACTATGTTTGAAAGTTTAAACTGGATAATGGGATGAGAGGAGAATTTCTAGGGTGGATGTTGTTTTGACGTGCATTTGAGTACTTTCGGAGTCTAATTTTGCTAAAATATTTCTGAGGATTATTAATGTGGGAGAGCAGTATCGTAAACGCTTCTTGATTCTTGCGTGCAGATACAGTGATAGTCTAGTTTTTGGGCGCTGTCAAGTTTTGAAAAGGTTCGTAAAAAACTTTCGGAACTTCGTGAAAGGTTCTTCAACAGCCAAGTAGTTTCCAGAGAAATTATTTTATGATAGATGATGACTTGTTTTATTTCGTGTATTTTTTTAAATGGTCATTTGGGCATGTTAACGCAGTTCTTTAAAATTTGGAAATTCTGGAGGTTATGTACGGGTTAATCGGTTCCTGTGCAGAGTGAAAGATTTCACTGGGACAGAGAATTTCATGTGGTAACAAAGTAAATCATCAAAATGTTGATGGCACTGGTTCGTTTGGGTAACTGAAATTCTGTTTTTTTTTTTTTTTTTATTGCTTCTTTTCCAAATGTTAGAAGTTCGTTTGAGAGCACTGAAGTTTTTGTTGATTTGAGGGACGACCACAGGTCAAGTTTTTAACGAGTAATTTTAGATTTTTCTGCTTGCCTAACTTTTTTTTTTTTTTTTTTAGATTTTAAACTGCCCACTATTCATTACAGAATCTTATCTATTGATCATCATTTATTTGAGGAGAAAAAGACGGAAACCTCGACTAATATATTAGAATAGCACTCAGAAATGGTTTGCTAAAAGAAAGACGGATGATTTTTGGTGCAAATGAGGCCAAGCAAGCATTTTTCAATTGCACTTAGTGCCAATATTAAGATCGTCGCTAAATTGCTGTATGAATATTCAGAGGTTATATAAAAAAATTTCTTCTTTCTTTTTTCCCCCAGAAAGCATATTTAAATTTGTTTTGGCTTTGTTCCTTTCAACCAGCAGAAATTTTTGTTTTTTTAGTCTTTTTTTTCTGATAAGTTTTTCTAAAAAACTGCCAACTATGTGGCAAAAGATGACTATTGAATTGATGCTGCTAAGATCTCTGATCTTTATTTGAGCTGAAAAATGTGACCGTTCTATCTTTTTTCTCATTAAAACACTACAATAGTTTAGGAGTGTTGCAATGAAATTGAACAGCATTAGATGATTCTCGTCCAGATTAAAAACCTCTGTTTTATTTTCTAATGACAGGAATTCTACGATACGTCGATTGGGTAGTATTTCTCAGTTCTAGAGGTTTCTATGTTGTTCAGTTTACTTTGGGGCAGTTTTATGTTCATTTCCAAATTTTTTTTGTTTTGACTTTGAAAGTATCTTATAATTTGAATTTTTTTGGCTTTTTAAACTTTCTGCAGTTATGAAACAAAAAAGTGGTTATGCTTTTCAAATGGTTGTTTTTAAGCATAATACGAATTTCAGGTTTAGTTTAATGTTATTTTAACGTTAATAGATTATCAGTCATAAATTTCAGTTGTAAAAATCGAATGATTAATTTTATGTACCTACAAAATAATGTTTTTCTTATAAGCGTTTAAACTGTTTAAAATAACAAATTTCATTGGTATGAAGTAGCAAGAAATTTGTGCTACAGAAATAGTGCTTTTTTTGTATTTCTGATTTTGTATGGCAAAAGTTGTTTAGTCTGTTTTCGAGAATAAAGTACTGTTTTAAATTTACAAAAAAAAAAAAAAAAA